ACCAAATAAAGACCCTAATTTTTTAGAATTAACCTACCAATACAGAATTGAACCCAGTCGAGAAGTTAAGAACATTCGTTTATCAATAAAAAGAAAGTTAAAAGAAGCGGGGCTAAAAAAAATTCACCACAGTTTAAGATCAGTAATACCCGAATTTTCTCATAGAATTCCCCCGTGTGATGACACAGATTGTTCCAAATGCCAAGAGCACAATCAGCCCATAATTTTGACTAGTACTGTTCATTCCTTAGCCTATTGGATGATTAGACAGTTATTTGCCAAAAAGTTTCAAGAAAAAAGAAAAATTCATGTCTTAACCAATGCTTATAAAAAAGACTTAAGTTTGCTCTATCAAAACAACAACTTCCCTAAAATCAATGAAAAAATTCATTGAACCACCCAAGAAATTATTACTCGCAAACGTCGCATTTTCAGTTTTTTAATTAATCAAATCACCAAAGAAAAATTAACCAAAGAAACCAAAAAAGAATTGTGGGGCATCTTTCGTGAAGTAATTGAAATCGAGCGGGAAAGCGAACCTTATTATCATTGAAGCATTAATGGATATGAGGATTTTTTGGCCCGAATTGAAGGTTTCTATCCGGACAACGAGTTAAATTTGTACTCCGAGTTACTGGCTATTTGTCAAGAAAACCAAACCAAAAATATCTGATTAAGTTTTGAAGATATGATTGAAAATGTTCTACTTTTTGGCAACCGTCCTGATACCCCGACTAATTGACCGGCATTTGACTACATTTTAGTTGATGAGTGCCAGGACTTAAAAAGAAATCTACTGACCCTGATTACGGAAATATTTAGCCATAAAGAGGCCAATTTTACTTTCGTGGGTGACCCCAAACAAAATATTATGGCTTTTGCGGGTGCTACTGACGATATTTTTCAATTACTAAAAGAAAAATTTCCCGATTGCGTTCAAAAAGAAATATCAATCAGTTTTCGGGTTCCGGAGGAAATTGCAGTCATGGCTAATGATTTCACCCGGAAGTTTATGTCCCGGCGCAAGCCAAAATTGGCCACTAATAAAACTAATGGTGGCAAAAACCCGGTGGTTTTTTTGGCTGGCTCGGAGCAAGTTTATCAATTAACTGAGGAAGAAGAAAATAAAATTGAGGAAAAACTCAAAAGTATCCCCTGAGAAAAAGAAGAAAGCGAAATTAAAAAAAACCGAAAAATAGAAAAATTAAGAAGTAAATTAATTAAAGAAGAAATATGA